TAGATGTATAAAAGGCTTTTTAGGCTAAAAAATCGAGCAATGTATAAAAATGCTATAAAATCAAGGAAAAAGCTTGCTGGAACTTTCTTCACCATGGCATGTTTCAAAACCAAAAAGCGTGATTGCCAATGCAATACAATATCTTTCATATTTCTTGTGTGTATAAATTCCCAAGTACTTATGTCGTTTTATTCATCCAGCTGAAACTATTTTCTTGATTCTGATCTTATATAGAACAGTTGCAGGTACTTATTCCTCATAAACTTTTGATGAAGAACGTCAATAAAACTATGCATTTGGTTATGAGCGGATGATTGCATCATAAGAGGTGTGCTTCAATAGTCTTGTGTATTATGATTTCATAATTCTAGCAAACGTAACAATTTCCAACAAGCTTCTTTATAATCAGACTTCAACAGGATACTTTTCGACGTGAATTAGTCAAAAATACATTGTTATTGCTAATTTCAAAAGCGTACTAATCAAAGAAGGTTTAAACCTGGGTTGATCTGCTTTGAAACTGGAATTTTGCCTTAGTTTTAACCAAGCATAGAGCTAGCAAATTATTTTCAGACAGTGCCTTTTCTGCCTATAAAAGGCATCTTCGTTTACAGCAAAGCAACTTGCAGTGGTAATGTAGAAAAGACGATTTTTTAATTATCAAAACTCGTGTTTATTCAATCTGGTTTGCAAAGAAAGGCTTCAACAGCATAGTCTTTTGTCAAATGGTCCAATTAATGGACAAATTCTATGTACATAATCAGAGCGCACCGCTAGGCAGACTTTACAAATCTTTTCAATTCCACAACTGCTTTTAAGTATGATATGAAAGCTAGATGTCAACTATTCTGAAGATTGTGTATTTAGTGAGGTCTATTGTCGTGAAAGTCGAAGCAACAAGGAACAAAGCAACGAAGGCTTTTTAGAAACACCTATTTGCTATACATCGGTGAAGAAGCATTAAGAGCTAGAACTGCAGCGACAACCACTTCTCTCAACAGGTTCTCTCAACAGGTATGTCCATGACACTGGTGTTAGAACTAGCTAACTTAGATTATAAATGTATATCCCCTGAAAGTCTGCTTCCTCGAAATAACAGCGATTTACTGAGTTGCAACTGCAAAGAAATAAGCATGCTCTTTGCCTCGTAATTCTTCACTTAGAGAATCCACCAAGCAGTAAACCATTAATCAAGAACAACCATGACTGATTTATCGCATGCTTTTCTCAAACAATATCCAAGCTTTATTTGTGGCTAGTTGTAGTTATTCACGTTCTACCGTTTGCATTAATTGAAAGCCTTCAATTGTAACTTGAATCGAAAAATAAATATTCTGCCTCTTCTACTACTTGCTACTACTACCACCACGGCCAAAATTTTTAAGCTCAATAACAGCCAAATATAAAGGCCTTCAGTATTCTGCGGCTTAACAGCAGTAATGAAAATTTGGCCTTTTCTTATATTATATTCATGTTTTCGTATTGAATTGAAAATTTCTTCTTTGTTTATTCTAATTACAGGGTCTGCATATACCTGCTGAAGCTACGCGATTGAATTTACCTACAGCTAAAGAAAGCACGATTTGTCATATTTCGTGCTTGATCGATGCAAAACTGTCATAAACTGCTAGACCTGCAGGAAATGGGAGAACACATGGAGTTTGATAAGTCGTTACAGAACGGTGTGCAAACCTGCACTTGGCAAGAGTCGGACGGAAAAAAAGGCACACAAGAGACTGGAAGCAGCGAGAAATTGTTTTTTCGGTTTGCAAAGCGAAGACCAAAAACGTCCAAAGAAAGAGGGGCTGCATATCGTGTTCCAGTGCAGAGTGAAGCAATTGACGAAGACAAAGAAGCAAGCTACGTTTCAGATTTCACTGGAGATCCTTTTGATTGCAATGACGATTTTCTGCAAGAATCGAGCAAAAAGAGTCGAAAAAGGCGAAAGAAATTGGAGAAGAAAGCAGCTTCGTTTGATTATGCTGATTTGAGAAACGAGATCGATTATCCTTCACGTATGAGCGTGCGCAGAACGGCCATCTGTGCAAAATCGAAGAGCACTGATGCGATTCAGTTAGAGACGTTCATTGTCGTTTCGAGGTTGAAACAGTTCGATTTGCTGTAAGACTCAAGTAAACCATGTTGTGAATGATGAATTGCAGAACAACTGACGTTGTTACAGGAGCGAACTTGCAAAGATTAATTTCATTTCAGGAACTTTGACTGTCGCTCAATGCGACCACAGAATAGGCCTATTCTGTGATACGATTGACAGTGTGCGCTGAAATGGACGAGCGCTCTTTATTGAGCGCTGAGGCTCTAAATTGATGACATTTTTCACAATAGGAGACTTCCTGACAGTCAAGCAGGATTGTAGCTAATTAATTTAAATTGCTTGCTCGGTGAGCTTGATAAGACCAATCGCGTGATTATGTAAAAGAAACGTAGTACTTAGCTTTAACAATTTGATTATTTCTTAGTCAATGGTACGGACAATGGTCTCGAACTTGATATTCCCTGGAAAATTGGAAATACGAACAAAACTATTAAAATATAACGATTTCCAAAGTACACTGCTTGCCAGGTGGCTAATGAGAACTGTGGTCTTTTTGCATTCTTAAGATGTCTGGCCGTAATTAAGTACTTGTTTTAAATCTCTCATATCGAAAATTTGGTACTTAGATTCTTCCGTTGTTCTAATGAAAAGCAATTACACATTTTTCTTTATATAAACTGTTTGTTAAAGGTTTAGATTTGAAATACGCGAAAAACGTTTCAAATATCATACGGTATTTTCTTTTATTCTACTTAAGTTAAAAAGACTGCTATGATATGTCAATCTAATCAAAGAGAAATGCAGATTGTCAACACGTTGTAATAAGAAACAAGAATTTTCCAGATCTTAATTAATTATGTAATTTTTACCTGTATTAAAAACTATGCAAAAAGATGTTTTATTGGATGAATTCATAAATACGTGATGAAGTCTTAGCAAAAGAGAAAGCTCCCTTTCCAGTCTGTAAGATGATTGTAGTTGAATATTGAAATGTTGGCTTGTTTGATTTGTAGAATGTGAAAGAAGTGCCTTTGTTCACAATAAGATCTCATATTAAAGGACCCTGATTTTTTTGCGATTGCACTTGTTGGCAGTTCTTAATACAATAAAGGTTTTCGAAAACACATTTCAACAGTATCGCTACCTTCTTGTCAGTAGGTATGGAAAAGAGCAAGAGGATACCTATCCACAAAAGATTTTGTAAAGTGTGTATGCATTCAAATGCGTTCTATATTCCTTGTTTTACATGAAGCATTTGCTACATTTTGCTGCGCCATCACAACATCCACACCTGCCACCCGTAGGTGTGGATGTTGTAATGGCGCGGTTAGTCTGTACGCAGTTAAATGCATGCAAAATCTCATTACAAAGGATAAATGATACCTAATTTCCTCAAATTAATAAAGTAGGTTTTAATGTTTCTTTTTCACCAATCGGTATCATTGTAGAACGGATTACATCCACTAAATCGCATGCTTTCAGCAATATCTGCCTACTTTAGGAAATAAAAAAGAAATATTCACAAACAATATCTCGTTATTAAACGCTTATCAATCTAAAAGCAAGGAATCATTAACCGTAAATTAGGACCGTGAAAAATCATCAACCATGCCGAAGGCAGTTAAAAAGCATTCGTCTTGCATGGAGGCTGTAAGTGTAAGCAATCGTTTTCTATGCGTCGAGGCACAACTTTGAATTTAGTTCACATCAGTGAAGAAAAATGCTGATTAGCTTTACTCCTTTTCATCAATGATTTCTCACATAAATCTTCATCTTCCAATATCGATGTTTGCTAGAAAACATTGAATATGCAAATTGGATTTGAAGATGATAAATCTGCTCTCATGTTATTGAAAAGGTAGTTTGCCATTGCAACGTAAGAATGTAAACAATGAAAGGAATTTCCCACTGATTTTTTTAAGTCAAGTCAAGGCTATCAAATCTTGTAGTCGAGCAAAGCTTGCTACGAGCAAATCTTGTAGTCGAGCACATTTTGCAGTCGAGCAAATTTTTCTGTAAAGGTTTTTCAAATAATTTTTTCGCAAATTTTTTCAAGCTGTTTTAAATTACTATGCTTGGCAACATTAACTCAGTTTCTTCTAGGTTTTTAATAAATCAGAAATCATTATAGGAATCAATAATCTGATAATATATACAGCCATGTTCTATCTTTCAAAGCCTTAAAAGGCCCAAGCCTAAATGTTACCCTGGGCACAAGAGCCGCAAAAATTACCGGCAGCAAAGAAATGTCTCCCTTCGTTTCCGCAACTCTTTTTTGCTGCTATCTTCATTTTTGCTGCCGTTAATTGGATACCTAAATGTATAATGCATTCTTAGTAACTCCATCCTTGAACGGACTGTGGAAGTGTGAGGGCATGGCTGTGCCTCTTTTCTGACAAAAAGACAAATAACAAACTGCACTGATAAAATAAAAACAAAAATGAGTGTAAATAATGATTTAAAAGCGAATACATTGTTTCACACATACATTGGACTGCCTATGCCTTTGAAAACCTCTTGTGTCTTCGCGAGGAATCCCTTCTCACATCGCGATCACTGTTTCTAAATTCGTATATTCAATTTTCGTAATCTAAAGACGTGATGCTAATGTAAAACGTATATGAAAAGGTAGCAGCCGATTTTTAATCGCGAGATAGGATTCGTTTAAGTTACAATCAGGTATTAAATTAGCTGTACCATCAATTTTAAAACTAATACACGGTCAACTTCCCACAAGAAAAAGTTATTTTCAAGCAAATATAAGTCATATGCTAAAAAAAGAGATCTGTGATGAAAGAGGAGACAATAATATGAAAGAAAAAGGCAAAGTACAAAATGCCTTAAAGACGAGGATTTGCTCAGCGTAGATACTGAAATCTTATTTTCAAACTCGACAACATTTATATTTTGATGATTGCATCATATAAAATGCGGTGCACTACAGGGATCCAAGGTGAACGCTGTTGACTTGCCATGTGGACAAAAATGGCGGCTCTTTCAAACTTCAGAAGGGTATTGATTACCGATAAAATTGATCAATCCTGTAAAGCCATTTTGGAGAAAAATGGAGTGGAGGTTACCCTGAAGCCAGGAATGCCAAAAGATGAAATTCTACAAGTTGTTAAGGTATGTTTTCCATCCTATTCTCTTGCAAACAAAAATTTCCTCAGGCAACCCAATGTTGTTGGCAAATTTCACATTTATGTGATAATTATTCTAACAATTTCTGACCTGTCGCATCAACCAAACTTTTTATTGCCACATGCTAATTTTAATTGGTAGGAGTAGCGTTTTCATACTTATCTTTATCTTCATCGGTATGTGCCTCTTTAGTAATAGGTATATTGACACTGGCTTAGGGCGACTTTTTAGACCAAACAGACGCATTTCCCGGAAAATTTTACCGAATGTGTACGAGAAATAGGTAGGTTATAATACAGGCCTATTTGTTAGAAACTTTCCACCGAGTTTGCCAGCAAATCCAACAAACATCAGAAGACGAGGGGCTAATTAATGAATAATGCCCTCTGGCACCCATCCACTATTCAGCCGCGCTCGAGGGCCAGGCTTCCCTAGGCTAGTTTAGCAGGAAGATAATAATGGATAGTAAAATAACTCTGAAGATGTCAATTTATCTAATGGGCAAAGATTATATCCCAAATTAAGCATTTCTCCTTCACCTAATCTCCCTCCGTTTTCCTGAAAATTGACAATCCTGCAAAAAATTTTGTGAAGAGGCAATATTACAAAAGTGGCAAAATGATAATTTTCTTGCTGCTGCGAGTTTTGAACCTTCTCTTTTTGATATAAATCAGGCAATACAAATCAAAGACTCAAAACAAAGAAACAAAGAATCAATACAAAGGAATGTATCTAACAGTGGCGATTCTAGCCTTAAGAATCTGGGGGGGGGGGGGCTAACCGGGGCCAAACTTTCAGTTATAGGAGCCAACACTAGCTATTACTTTGGGAACTAGTAGAATGTAAAGCAGTGGGGTGGTGGCTCAAAATTAGCTAGCTACAAGGCACCGGTTCTTAGCTCCCCGTAGATAAGTATGTCCTTGGTACAGCTCTATCAAGGCTGTTATCATTATGCCAAATAGTTTTATTAGTGGTGTAAGGAGCAGCTGTATCCCCTAGGAAAAATAACAAAGAAAAATTGTTGCTGGGGGCCCCTAAAGGTTCGGGACTGTTTGTTATTTGACTAAAAGTAACTTTGTTCTGTTACTCCACTGAGTTTTATCTGTTTAACAATAATGCATCATGATCATGGTTTTCAACAGAAGAACTAAACTTCTAAAAAACAAAAGTCTAATAGCTTTGTGAGATTGATTGGTAAAATTTTTCCATAGTAGTTATGTCTTATATCCAACCTCCATGAGATCAAGCAAATCATTCTGTTACACAGAATTTCAAGTCATACAATCTCGATAAGCAATAGTAGATTGCCAAGGTATACTGGGATAGTATTGGGCTGACCCTGCGCACCCCACCGCAAGAAGGTGGATCTTCGTGATAATATACAGCAAATATAGAATTTCAATGATTGTCAAGAATTAGTTTTGCTTGGTAACTACAGAACTCTTGTTAACTCTTGGTTTTTACTTGGTAACTTGTTAGAAAGGAGCAAAATTTCATAAATGTCCACCTCGGTTACAAACCAATACGCTCATTGGGGCCCTTAGTTTGTTAAAGGCATTGAGTCATGATAAATAGACTGGGTATACCCTAAGTGCCAAAATCCGCTGAGTCATGATTTCCATGACTGCGATGCTATGGGTTGACCTTGAACTGGTCACATGAACTCACCTTGTACTGACTAACATAACAGTTTCCATCAATAGCAAGTTGTCAACAACAGATGCCAATATCACATGAAACAGCAGCGATCACGCCGAAACCAAATGACCCCCTATAGAGAAAGCCTATTTACCATGACTCAATGCCTTTAAATAAATGCAATAAAGAGAGCAGCCCTAACAAAGACATAAAACGATTGGACAGCTTCGAAAGAAAACATTGAATTTTTAATAGAAACTTTTGAAAAAACTGGGGGGGGGCAAAACCCCACCCCCTCCCCCATATTGTATGGGACAACTTCCACATGCATTTTACAAATTTTCCAGCCAACCAGATGATTAGGTTAAAATTGATTTCATTGTATCTGATTTTTGCAATATGATAACCATTTCCAAATCTTTAGTGCTCTAGGCCCGTGTAACTTGTTGGACATTTAAAATTTGCTTGAGCTTTCCTTGTTTTATAGACAAATTATCTAAATTCAAGCTAAAGCCAGACTGCCCTGTTTCTCATGACAATGCTCAAGCAAAAGACAGAAAAAGTTGTCTTTACCTTAACTAAGTCCTTTTGTTCCAGTTTTAATACCACTTGATGTAGTTTTCCAGATGAATCCAATTGCCTATGATTCTCATTATTATTAGATTATATTGTTAAGCATGGTACTTTGCAAAATAGCTGTTAGATCTTATAAAAGTTATCTAGTTCTGTTTATACTTTCTGTCACCAGGATTATGACTGCCTGATAGTCAGATCAGCTACCAAAGTTACAGAGGATCTCATTGAGGCTGGAAAGAATTTGAAAATCATTGGTAGAGCAGGGACAGGAGTTGATAATATAGATGTTAATGCTGCCACAAAAAGAGGAATATTTGTTATGAAGTATGTATATAGGTTGACTTAGATTTTTAAATTTTTTTAGTAATATTTGTCCAAGTTATAAGGAAATCAAACTTGTAAGTATATCAAATCTTGCATCTTCTTTTATGACATCTATTTGTTTAAAATTCTAGAATAATGGTGCTTTTAGATTTTTCCAAAACAAAAAGTACATATCTGTTCAAGGCCATCAAGGGGGTGTGGGGGCCAATTGCCCCAGAGCCTTGAGGTCTAGGGGGCACCCCTTTTTGATGATATACTTGCAATGATATACTTGATAATGATGTACTTGCAAGGGATGTACATTTCAGTGAACAAAATAGAACAAATCCAAGAATACTTAAAGAAACCAGATACAGGATGGAAAGATTTTCAAATCCATTGTCTTACCAAAACATTTACAATTATCTAGTAGATACAATAGGTTTAAAATCCATGAAGTTCTTCTTGATCATCTGCTTCACCAAAAAGATCTTAACAGTCTTTCAAATAACATCAACAGCCACCAGTACCTGCATCTGTCTGGAAACATAGCATGTTTTCCAAGATCAGTTTGCTTTGACTTTGGGCACTTCTGTCAAATTGCCCTCCTGTTTTAACAACCCTTGAATCTTTGCTTTGTTGTTTCAAAATTTTTTCCTGTCTTCTTAATTTTGATGTGCCAAGGTGTTTTATATGACTCTATGTTTAAGACCCGCAAGATAGGATACGCATTATTTTCTATTTCAATGAATGCAGCTGTTCTGTCAAATGATAATTTACCCTGTTTACAAAGAGCAAAAGTAAAGGGATCCAGATTAGGACTGAGATCTCGCTGGTGGTTTCGTGGCCTTTTTTGTTGTCTCATGATCAATTGTTACATTTAAAAAGTCCAATTTTTTAATTAAGAAAGCAGATGCTCCAAATGCTGTAATATTTGGTTTATAAACTAATGTTTTTATCTTAAAAGCTATATGATTTGAAAGTCAATGTTTCTATGTATAAGACACACCCTCAAACAAAAGGTGTGTCTTATACAAGGCAAATGGGTTACATTGTAACTTATAAACAGACACCTACTTTCTGTCTTTTTTGTATGAAACCCTTTATGACATGGCTACAATGTGCCTTTTTTCTCCTGCTAGCACACCAGGTGGAAACACGTTGAGTGCTGCAGAACATACATGTGCATTGATTGCTGCGATGGCAAGGTATTCTTTTCTAGCAAGCATTTTTATATTTCATATTTTACACAATGGCATATATCTTTGAAGTACCTATTTTTGTTTTTTTGGATAATGCAATCAGGTAACATAGATCAGAATTCAAGTAAGCTGAAGCCAAGTCATTCTTTTCACCTTAAAGAGGTTCAAATTGCTATGAAATTATGTTATTGATTTTAAGTGATTTTAAAAGCACTATGCCCTGTCAGTAACATTTTAATAATAGATTCTGCAGTGCATTTAAAATTTGAAAATCAAGAAGTCAGTAATCAGAAGTTATGTGCTACTTCAGCAAAGAGATGATTTCACCAGTGTTTTTCAATCTTTTTCGATCCACGACACAAGTTTTCATTGCAAAAATCATGACACACGCCAACAGCAGAAAATATTTAAAATGAAACTCCATGGCTTATATTCACAATGTTATGTCGTTCTCAAAGAGATGTTTGAGTTTAGACTTTCATGGAAGAATTAATTTGCCAACCTTGTTTCTTTAAAGCCCCTTAATTTTTTCCCAACCCTGCTTAGCTCTCTTCAGAAGTCAAAATGAAATAAGCACTTATTGGAACATGTAACAATATGCTATTTTATCCAGTGTGAATTTTAGTCTTTATTGAACTTTCTCAGGAACTTCAAGATGCTTTGTATTCAGATATGAGAAATTGCGCTTCGTTCTTTCAAGATTTTCTGCTAATTGCAAAATCATAAAAATTGCAACAGCAAGCTGAATGTTTCATTAGAACCGAAGCGACAGAAGGATAAGGGTTGAATATAAGTCTGCTTATCTCAATACTACGGCGGGGCTTTCACTCTCAGGAATCAACGCGCGTGACTAATGACGCACATAATAGCAGCTGTTCGCGCGAATCTTAATACTGTTATTTACTGCGGAAATGAATGATCCTAGGTGAAGAGTTTGCTGTTTTTAAAAAATCAATCTCTAAACGCTGTGCTTGAGGCTCGTGCGCGTTTTTGAAGTTAATATATCCAAAGAAACTATTAGGTGGTCCATCGTGAAAAAGAAGGGAGATCAAAAATGTTATCAAGTTGTAAATCTAAAATTAAGCTAACAGATAGTAGCACATATGCGGGGAATCTTTTCTTGGAAATGTATAGTTGTTTATGGCAAATCAAAAGCTTGATAAGTAGTTCCATATAGAATAAGCAACAATCCGCCCTTGATTTGTCGCCATTCCTAGGTGTATCGAGTTAAGCCAGAAGGTACACAAGGATCAGTTTCATATATTTGATCCGATCATATATTTGAACAGAATTGAGTGAGCGGGTCCATATGGAGCATAGATCACTGATAACAAGTTCTTTGCAACTTGAAGTGAGTTTCCTGCGCTATCAAAATGTCGCCGTGATTAAGTTGAAACAAAGATTGATAGGAAATAGTGTAAAGATCATTAAAGATCATTTATGTCAATCAAAGAAAACACGGCAGAGACTTTGGTAGTCTTGTTGTCGTTTTGTAGTCTTGTTTCAGTCTTTCCATGGAAATACACAAATTCTCTGTAAACATCTGGATTTTTTCCATTGTTTGAAGTAAAAATGTTCCTAGCACAAAAACTAGAATTCTCAAATTATAGATAAAGAACGTAATCGATTGACTGATAAGCGAATTTCTGAGTGGCATATCAGGAAGTCTCTTTTTACATACCTAAGCATTAAATCAATAAATGTTTATATATACTTATATTCCTAATTCCTGGTGAATGCTGTATTACACAATCCCACTGTATATGTGCCAAACTGTTTTGCTCCACACTGCTATTTGATGTCTTTGATTTCACCAGGAATATTGGACAAGGCTATGCCACAATGCGAGAAGGCAAATGGGAACGATCAAAGGTTTGATTGAATACAATTTCTGCTCCATTTTCCTGAAAAACAGAAAAAGAGAAACAATTCTGTTTTGTTAATTAAGAACAGTACGACTAAGTATTATATTTTGCCTTGTGTTATGAAAACAAACATCTTCATCAACGGTTCAAGATTTCAACGGTTTGTTACGTCAAGTATGCTATACTGAATTGTGCTATGCTATGATGAATGTATTTCTAAAATCTAAAAGCGTAGCCACCAATAAAAGTTATATATTTAGTCAAATTTCATTTCTACTAAGAGATTACTTAAAAAAAGAGCTGTCGTTTTCACGATTAGTGTTAAATGTGTTCTTCTGATTGCTTTTCTTGTTATATAGAATTTTTATAAATTATTCAATCGTTGATTTATCATGCAGTTGATGTTTCTTCCTTATGAACTTTTCTGATTGTTCAACTGACTTCTTTGTGCAGCTTATGGGTTGTGAGCTGAATGGTAAAACGCTGGCCATTATAGGCCTTGGAAGGATTGGAAGAGAGGTTGCAACAAGAATGAGTTCTTTTGGAATGAAGGTTGGAAAACCTCTTTTTCATTCTCCACGTCTGCCTTACCATGTCTAGGTTTTGCTATCAACAATTTTCACTGGATATATGTACAAAATATATGCAAACTTTGGCTAAATTAGTTGACTATGTAAAACTCATAACTTCTTTAAATAGTAAGTGTAATAAAAGAATTTGAGACCAGATAACTTAATTTTATTTATTCTTTATCTGTGGTCACTAACTATCCTGGACCTCTTTTTCGATGACAAATTGCGATTTGGCACCTATTTCCTTAAGCTTCAGATAATTCTTAATCTTTAACTTTTCTCTTGTGATAACAATCGAAATGAAATTGTAAAATTGAAAGTGTATTCCTAAGAATGTATTTTTTCACTCATTTATCAGGTTTAATTAGTTTATTTCATCGACTTATAAGCAGACGTTAACGTGATCAACGAGCTGCTCCGTATTTGGTCAAACTGTAAAACCATTAACTCCACATAATTGGTAAAAGAAACTTACATAAATGTGCATCATTACCAGCCTTAATATCTCATAATAGTATCACAATTAACTATATTTTATTGTAGTTTCTAGAGAATGTTTTGCATTTTTGAGCGTTTCTGTACTTTAGTATTGGAATTCTCCTGTTGCTCTACAGTGAACAAAGAACCATTTTTTATTTTTCTTGTAGATAATAGGCTTTGATCCCATCGTCACACCAGAAGAAGCTGCATCGTTTGGCATAGGCTATCATTCATTGGAACAGATTTGGCCTATTGCTGATTTCATCACAGTTCACACTCCGTTGCTGCCACATCTGCGAGGTTAAATTCTGTGGTGTCTTTTGTAGTTTGTCGTCTAATAACCATCCTTATCACTTACTGTGTTATGGAATTCACAAAGAGCTGCACTTTTTGCTTTCTTATGTTTCCTGCTATGTTGTGTTGAGATGATATCTCCAAGTAGCTGCGATAAAAAGCCTGTTTTTCAGGTGATTTAAAAGACTGTTCTGTTTTGCAGACAAATCATCTGATGCGTAATCGGTTTTTGATTGTCCGCACTTCTGGAAACAGCGTTTTGTATATTTCAAGCAGAAAATGCTTTGATGGTTCGACGTTTTTTATCAAAACCATCTGAAATTTGACAGCATTTTCGTAGCAGCAATCGATTTCGAAAAAAAGATTAGATTAAGAAAGATATTTTTGGTCTCAAAGTAACTTTAACATCAAAAAATCATTTTCACCATTGCAGGTTTGCTTTCTCAAAAGACCTTTAATCTTTGCAAAGATGGAGTCAGAGTTATAAACGTTGCCCGTGGTGGATTGATTGACGAAGGAGACTTAATAGAGGCGTTAGACTCGGGCAAAGTCGCCGGTGCTGCCCTAGATGTTTTTGTTTCAGAGCCTCCTTCTGGTAAGTGGACAGTGTTTGCATTACTTGAAAACAAGGTTGCTTCCCAATCTTCTCTGTATGGTAAAGAAGAGGTCATATTCTGATATTGTCACATGGGCGAGTGTTAATAAGTTAACTCTGTTCGACGCTCACCCCAGTATCAATTTGTCACATGCAGCCTACCGAAGTAATCTTTTCCATTCCTTTTGAATCATTTCTTTTGCCTTGTCATCAACTCGTGCTTTCTTCAGATTTCTCAGCATTTCAAACATTAAACAAAGCTCGAAGAAGACAAATTTCATATGTGCATTATATAAACTTTGCTAAATCTGCTTTGATATCAATTCAAACTAACCTCGTATTATTTAACAAACAGGAATCAGTGCAAAGCTTGTTATGCACCCCAAAGTTGTCTGCACCCCTCATTTGGGGGCAAGTACCGTAGAAGCACAGAAGAGGGTTGCCATGGAGATTGCCCAGCAGATAGTCGATGCTATGAATGGGAAGCCAATCATTGGTTTGGTAATTACTGTTTGTTTTATATCTAACTGGGTACCCTTGAATATGAACTTTCAAAAAGTTTTCAGGTGTACATCTTCATGTCTCTTTCATATGCAAGGCATTAAGTCAGTGGGGATATTTGTAAAACTTTAACTGATTGAGAAATGATGCACATGTGAACTCCAAATGTTTGAAGTCTGAAGGAATCGTATACCAAGCATGGTCAGGTTCATCTTGCAATTTTTTCAAGACCTCTAATTTCCTTTCGTAACTATTTTTCATCAAAATGGCATTACGATCTTATTTTCAATTAGTTTATTTCAAATATTACATACCTAGAATGCCTGCTAAAGTCTTGGTACTCTACGCATTTACTGTTGTAAATGGCTTTGTAAGAAACAAACATTTGAGTAAACTAAAGCTTATCGTTTGGCACTCTTCAGAGTTTTATACCACCAAAAGGTTTTTCACTGCTGCATCCCCCTCCTCAGAGCTGCAAAAATGTTTTCCTTAAACTGCAAAAAAGTAAATACTTTCTGGAAACCTGCGAAACAGGACAAAAATTTTTCTGAGGTGAAAACATTGTGTACTTTAGCTCTACCAATAGAACGCACAGATTTTTACGCAAGGGCTTCTAATTTATTGCGTCTAAAGAAAATTACCAATAAAGTTTTCGTAATTTGGTTCTTTATTGCATCTTTTTTGTCTTTGGCAAAGATTGATTATGCGAAAAAGGTAAATTAAATTTGGGGATCAAATGGCGATATGTTTGTTTACTGGCAGAAACTTCAACAAAGATGTTGCTCTCAGCAATTACCTGGTGTTTGGGAAAGGTGATAGATGCTAGCTTTAGGGGAGATGAATCTGGTTACCTGTTTATACTTATCAGCCAGCTTTTTCAGCCTTTCATTTGATACTTTACAACATGATATTTTACATCAATAAATGGTGACATCTCAACATTCAAAGGACAAATATGACCACGAGGATGTAATTCAACACGAGGAAAGAACACGGGGATGTAATTCGAAACCAATCAATAACTTTGCCTGCCAAGAACTTACTTTTATAAGTCTGCCAAAAACTCAATCAAGACTCAAGTCAAGTATTGTATTGCTAGCAGACAGAAAACCTAGTATACTTGCAATTTTCATAACTTTTGATCTTTAAGATCCAAAAGCATAGCCCGATATAAGGAAACTAAAACAGCACTTTTCAAAACACATATATTGCCTACTTCAGGTCTGCAGCTTTATCTGTTTTAATGGTCCTGGACAAAGTAACTGAATTTTTCTTCCAAGTTATACATTTTTTTTGTTATATTTGACAAAGGAGTAATAGTTTTTATAAAGGTTTCGAAACTTCTTTATTTAATGCATTCTACAACCTGCGTAGGTTAAGCTGACATTTGTATAAACTTTTGATCTATTGTGAAAAAGTCAAGGAAAAAGTTTTGTTGATGCAAAAACAGCTGTTTTTTATTAGGTTTTTAAGAAAATTTTCTTCCAAACCATAAGTTTTTCTGGGAATCTAGTTCCCAGGTTCCGATACGTTTTGCAGCTCTGCCCCTCCCCTCCGAATAATTTTGTTTTATGCAAAATAAAAAGATTCGATGTAGGCCAAGAGATTCATTTCAGATAGTTATGATGTATTATTATAAAACCAGGAGGTGCGTTGTCATTTTTTCACTTGAAACGATTCGTTTTTTTAAGTAACACTAAGCAACGGGGTGTTCCAGGGACTTTTGGCAGAGATTGTGGGTGTGCCTCAGAAGCTCTGAATTTCTTAAACTTTTAGAGCAATGCTTTCGTGAAATAAGCGATGAAGACTTGAGATTTGAAATCAACGTTACTTAAAGTGATTCTCTGTTGAACATCATTAAAAAGTAAACTATAGCATCGTCTGTAATGAGTTTTGCTTTGTAAAATAAATGAATAATTCATTTCGTGGTACTCTCAGTTTTGGGGGTCGGACGAAACAATCAAACAAGTAGGGAAAGCGTTGAAGAAGGCGTTGAAGACTTGTATATCTTTTTTCGTGTTGCTTTCCGTTCTAAGACTAAATAGAGTTATCCCAGGCGTTTTTTCAGCATTTTTCGCTTTTCTGATTCAAAGCGAAACCGTCGCGTAAAAAGTAACAATTCTTTGAACCTAAACCAGCAATTTTTTAAAATACAAAAAATCAAGATGGAACAGAACACCGGACTTTTTGCAACAAACTGCTGTCGTTTTTTCGCTTGACATGGCTCAGATTATAGACATAGGATAACGAACAAAAGTTGAACGATTACACAATGATCTCGTGTCAGAAGTGACACATTTTTAGCGGCAAATTGCAAAATAGATAAAAGTATATGAACTGGAATTTTTTGACAAAACATCTAGTTCACAAATAAGACCTGGGAATAATTATTGGTTGTGTAGTGTTATAATTACCTGCTTTGCCTAATTCAATGCCAATTTTGCCATTTGTTTTTTAGGTCAACGCACCTTTTTTGATGAATATGGGAAAATCGGATTACAAATGCTGGATGGAACTTGGGAGAAAAATGGCAACATTACTGCGATGTCTTGTGAAGGGGTGCACCAAACTTGAAATTGAAGTGACTGGCAAAAATATGGGAGATACTAAGGGACTTATAAATGCGGGTGTTGCGTTTGGATATCTGCAAAAAGTTAATCAGGATTCTAACTTGATAAACGCAATGGAAATTCTGAAGCAGGAGGGAATAGAGGTATATCCACAATTTATTAATAATTACTTTGTTATCTGATATGATTCCTGGTGGCTATTATTCAAAGCTTGATCTTTTTAGGGTAGGGGGGGACTTTTTTGCTCGCATAATATGTTTAAATATATAAGAGTTGTGGCCCAAAAACTAGATAAAAGTGATTGGTTAACAAAGCACTTAAATGTGATCATCCGAAATAACATATCCGAAACAACATTCTATACAAAGACCATTGTACAGAAGTTGCAATCAATTGAATGTTTATAGTTTGGCAGTATAATAGAGAAGCTTATTGGAGAGAAAAGTCAATTCAAAACTCGATGCTAAAGCGAGGGGCTGATTTGAGAGGGGGCTTTATTGATTTATAGAAAACATGTCAAAATTTATTTCTCACTACAAAGCATGTTGGGAACCCCCTTTGCATTATGGGTGATTGCAACTTATTAGATGCAATTGGTTGCTCATCCTACTTGCCACTATTTGCCATAGATAATGTAAAACTTACAAGTACTTTGAAGTGAAGGAGAACTCACAAAGGCATACTGAAGAGAAGTTCCCGAGCAGTTATATCTCTTCACTATGTTCCTGCTAAACACCAATGAGAAAGGAAATTTTACTAGAAATGATTGTCCTATTCCTCTCAGGCATCTTAAAAGCAATCTGTCTCGTTGCAAATATAAAATTTAATTTTCTTGCAGCTAACATGGGTGCAGTCAGAAGGCATTCAGCCGCAAGTTAGTTTAACAGCTACAACCAAAGAGAATACCAAAGTGGCCATGAGCGGTTCCATTGCTGGAGATAGCTTGCTTCTCACCCGTGTAGATGGTGAGCCCTTGTCCGGTCCTGTTACCTTGTCACAGAGAGTTTTTGTCTATAATGCTTCTTCCAAAAGCAATTTTTTCAAGCTTGTTGCAGATAATGCCATAAAAATTGAGTCTTTTGTCATGACAAAAACTGGAAATAAAGTTTTCGGTACTGTTGCTGATGATCAAGACGAGAAAATAAACGAAGGGTTTATTTTTTGTAATTTTTGATTTAGAATTTAACATTCATGGGCATCAAAATGTTTCTAATTGAAGGAGTGCTCATTTTTGTGTACAAACAATTAACTCCCCTTGCCAAATTTACCTTTGATGACTGACAAATTCGTTATTACGTGAAGTTACGGGTGTGATATAGGAATGCTACTTTACAAATTCCTCAAAAACACACCTTTGAAGCTGCATGCCCATCACTGCTCATTCCTTAATGCTGGTAATCCTAATTTCACGTTCTACTTAACTTTTGAATTTTATTAACAAAATGATATTTTTTTTAAAAAGCCTCTGTATGATCAATCCCTAAAATTGAAAATTAAATTAAGAACATCCTTAATGCAAACAATTTTTGCATAAAAACTTAATTAATATAACTCAAATACGATATCTTTGAATAAATTCTTTAATTAAACTCACCCAATTTTTTATTTCTTAATAAAAAACAAAATTGTTAATTGCAGTTGATTTTTCTAGAAATCAAAATCCTAACTGATGACCAAAACTTTCATAGGTTCTGCTTTCATAAAATGTATGTGTTCAGTAAATAACTCCGCTAAATCTACAAACACAGCATTAAAACCCGAGAAAGGGCTAATATGGAAAAAAATTTGGCATTCTGTTTTATCCTCATATCAACCGTTTAGAGTGGAACTGCTAAAATTTAAACCAATTCGAGGGCTCGATACTGTAGCTAGAACTCAAAAAGCCAAAAGGGTATCTATTTCGCTGCTGTCAAATGTACTTAACCTCATCATGTCCTATCTATCTTAGCCTATTACCCTATTAACTTACCCTATCACAATTTTGAGATGTGCCATCAGGGTATATTTAGAAACTCCCAAACTGCTTTCCTTCAGAGTTGGTGGGTTGCTTATCAAAGAAATCCTCTATTTTTTGCTGTTATAGGTGAGAAAGTAAAACCAGTCTCCCGTTTATCAGTGACCTAGGCTATATTTTTGGTATTTTAAATTCAGCTTCTTCTTATCCATTCGAGTTAGACCAGTTCTTAAATCATCTGCTAAATAGCCAAGTTAATGCTACTCTCGTTGAGGCTGTGTTTATACTGCACTAAACCTGACCTCCATCAAAGACCACAAAAGTCCTTCGACATGTAAGTGGAGCGAGTTTTGAGAACCGAGTTTAGGTTGTAAACCCTGTAGCTTGTTTTTGGAGCCAGGCCTGAATACTTTATCCGTCCCGCACCCCGTTATCTGCAGGGCTGGGCACCTTTTGGTTCTTCGTTGCATCTTTGGGCGACACCGTGGAGGGGAAAGGCCCATAAAAGCCGTCTTGAAAGGGGCATGACTCGATTATTTTTCTCGAACTTTTTTCTAACCCTTTTTTCTTACGAATTTTTTTGAAAGGATATTTAGAAGAATATATTATTGGTTTCCGTAGGGCCATTCTATATGTTTCTAGTTAAAAGATTTCGGCTTTTTGTTGACTATCGATGCTTGGTAATGGACTTTAAACTCAAACAAGCAGAGAAGAGGGTTGTTTATTGAAGCGAGTCACCTTTCGAAGATAAAATATCTTGCCCCAATAAATCCCGTCGTTAGATTTGGGTTGTAGAAGAGTGATATTCAGAATACCTAGAAATGAAAACACTGGGATGCGGGAGTTTTATTTTGTTGGAAACTTGGTAGTTGTGAGCAAGGTACCGTGTATTGCCCTCTCTAATACACGGTAATGTGAGCAAGGTACTTGCTGGGTTGCTGGCAAAGGGAAAAAATTTAGCGCTCTGTTTATCTGTGCCTCTCCAAAAATGCATGTTATTATGTACTCGGTCACAGAGCAAATATGTCGGGTAGAAGGACTTTCCTTTTGAACTGCAGAAAAGCGGTTCAAAATCCCATTCGTTGAAGTCACGTGAAACTAAAAGTAACTTCCTACTAAACAGAACAGAATTGTATGGGGATCAGTTTTCTGCCATGTACAAGTCACATGATCTAGTATTAGGAAGCTAGTGTTTTAAGGAAGATGGTGGCTATGGTGGCTGTTGTATCTAACTTAGTACTGTTCGTGTTTCTGTTCAGTTACATAAAAGCACAAGATACTTGTGATCCTAAAGACCAGTGTACTTGTACACTTAAGGACAACAGAGAAATAAGCTTATGGCCTATTAACAGCGCAAACTCTGCAAGGTGAGTCAATTTGAGTTTTCCAAGCATCATATTCGCTAGTTAGATCTTAAACCAAGGAAGAACAGTAGACCAAGTAAGGGTGCAGCATTTGGGGGCTGCGGGGGCCTGTAACCCTTATAATTTCCTTAGATACAGTGTCGTTGGAACAAAAATTCATATTAGAGGAGGGGATGACCATTCAGTTTCTTTCGTTTTAGTGCTCTATTAACTGTAAAGAAAAAAGGTTTTTGGCGATTATTTCCGAGTTGCACTCTTTGCTGCTCCAAGCTCGTGACATCTGCTTGGGAATTTTGACGTCTTGAGTCTGCCGATTCGTATCCCTTTTCTAGAGTTTACAATAGAGTGCGCCAAAAATCGCAGGAGAGCACCAACAAATACTTTAAATGTACAAAAACAGCTGAATGCGTCAAATTTTGCTGAGATATGGCCTAGTTAGCACAGGCTCTTTCTTGTCTTTATTCTAAAATCTGCCAACCAGGCCAAGAGTTATCTATTGGCAGCACTCAGTTCATTCACGTGCTGTATCACATCCAATAGAGTTTGATTGAATTCTTGGAAAAATAGCTTTGAATATGTAAACACTGAGACACCCCACCCCCAACCATTGAGACACCCCACCCCCAACCATTGAGACCCATATCCACAAATCAATAAAGTATGAAAATCAGCCGATTTTTCACATACAAAGTTCATGCAGTACAATTTCGTTTCTTCCCAACTTTCCTCAAATGAAATAGTTGATATACAAAGATCCTGAATGTGGGCCCCCGATTTTTGATAATTTTTGTCTGGGGCCACTGGGGTTTTCCAGAAGCCTCTGTCTTTTGTCACGCTACTGTAACATTTTCTCTCCCGTGAAATTTCCCTCCCCCGTCCTTACCCCTTGGACTTGCCGAGGCTCTGGTACCCAGCCCAGAGTATGCCACTGTGTGTACCACAAATAAAAGAAGAAATCTGCTATGCTTTTGCCAAAAATGGTTTCTAGTCGGTGTTACAATTACCAGTTAATACTGGTAACTAACATTATGAAATGTCTAAATGGAGTTCATTATAGTCACCTCAAGCTACAACAAACTGAGTTAGCTTTACTTACGATTTCTGCACGTTGTAGATTTTCATAATTAAGCTTAATTAGTTTTTATAACATTTTGTTGCATTTCAGATTTTTAAATGTGAAAGATAGACTTGGGCAAACATACCTTTACGATTACAATCCTTGTACGACATTTACAAAACCAGAAATTGCTGGTGAATGTGTCAATGTATTGGTAAGAGCTTATCTTTCGTGAGATACTTTTTATTCTCTTTGCCAATGTTATTTGCTACCCTGAGCCTTGAAATTTCCGTAAATTGAATAAAGATGGCAGCGCCTACAAAGGCTGGGCATTGGACCTTAAAGTACTGTAGAATTATCAACAGTACGTATATTCAGGGCCGCGGAGAGGAAGACCAGATAAAAGATGGGGCCCCCTGCGAGCCAGGCGAAAATTTTTGCGACCACGCCCTTTAGATTACCTAAAAATACATTCCAGAATATTTTTTGCAGTCATTTTCTTGCAAAAGCTTAAAGTGCTTTACTATTTTTGTTACATTTGCGTTATTCAATTCTTATAGTGGAATTCATTACCTTATGAAGCTCCTAGCTAGACCTCGAGGCCCTGGGGTAATTTGCCTCCCTTGCCTCCCTTCTCGGCGGCCCTTCATATATCTTTTTATCTTGTTGAACACCCTCTCAGCTCAGGGCAAAAGGCAATCTGCCCCCTTCCCCCTTTTGGTGGGCCTGTGCACGTTGACCAATTTACACGTGCAAATAGTACGAATGCCTCTGTTAAAAAAGTAGACTTTGTCTAATCTAATTTTTGGCGCATATTATTTTATAAAAAGATTGGCGCCAGTATCGTGTCAAGCCGCAGTTAACGTAAAGTCATTAGTGCGATAACCGCAAATCTTTTGCATTTTGTAGCTTTTTCCTTTTGCCATCTTGCGCTTTTGCCTCAAATGAGATTACAAATTATTCAGTGCGGCTGGCTGCAAAAGACTTAATGCTCGCAAAGTTAGGCATCAGTTGACTTTCTGGAGGCGCAAAATCGATCATTATCTCACATTTTCATCCAAACTCGGAAACTTCCTAGCACCCTTTCATTGTCTCACAATACTTTTGTGCAATTTGGATCTTTAACTTGATGTTTTTGGATCGCAAGAGACACGAAGCTCGAATACCATAAAAACTAAGAAACATCTTAGAAACATTTCCAGACTCAGATAGAAGGATCTCTTTGAAAAAGGGCATTTTCTGGTGTTATATAGTGTGTGGATCCCAATTTTCCTCTCTCCCAACTCACCGTTGCCCCCTGCCTTTGTCTCCTATGCCATTGATTTGAAAACCAAATCACCTTTAAAAGATTTAAAGTACTTTGGCCAAATCTGTGCCCGAGGAATTCTCTCTCTCTACCAGAATGGAAGTAAATCCACAAACCGGTTCCATTTGCAAGAAGGCAGTTTGTACCCTGATTGATGAAAAGGATGGTAAGTGATTTGACCAAACATTGTTTTAGACAGTTTTCGAGCCTATTAATTCCTTAAGCCAGTTTTTTTAAAATTCCAGGGATGTCAAGGTGGTCGCTTTGGAGGAGATCCAGTGGCTATTGCGTACTCAAGCAACCCTAAAGTGAATTACGATAAAAGAATTGAGATGTACACATTCACATATACTGGTAGCAAACTCGATGACAAACGAAGGTATTTGCATATCACTTTAAGAAATACATATGCCATATGAGACTTTGCATCTACTTAGTCACTTAAAGTCCGATGTTTTGCTTTTCTGACGACCTTGAAACTGCACTTTTCTCTTAGTAGTTTATACGTATATCTTCTGGTCATTCTTCCAATCTTTTAACTCCTTTATTCATTTCATATTTGCTCAAGAAGAGTTATGTTTAGTATCCGGTAGATCATTGATAGGAGGTCAGACATCTACCTAGCCACAGCTTTTTTGCTCCGGTAACCGCCTAACCGTACCTGTCTTGCTCCGATATCCGCCTAACTGCGCTATTTTTGCTCCGATCTTCGTTGACAATAATATTTCTTGGCATATCCGTAATCGCAGTGATGCTGTTAGCCGCTGAAATTTAGGCCTAATCCATAATGGACCCACGACTATTCAGTATCGACATTATTTCTCAACGTTCTTTCTGATTTTGCATTAAGACAGATGGTTATCAGATTAAAGTGTAATGGCAGTGCGACAGAACCAAAAATTGAACAGTTTTTGCAGACGTACGAAAATGTTTTTGTAAGTTAAACTTTTTGCCTTTTTATTTTGTGAATGGACCCGCATTTTTTAAAAGAGTTCTTTTAGCTGTATAAGTCGCAGCACAATCTTGTTATGTTTTAAATTTTAAAGGAAACATTTCATGTTACACAACATAATACCAGCCCTCGCATGATAATCTGTTTTTCTGGATGACAACATATTTAGGAATGTACACAGAAGATTGCAGTCGTCTGTTTTAGCCTGTTAAGGGGATCATAAAATATTCATAAAATTTCTTGTATAATATTTCATCGTCTAAGTTCTGTGATAGGTTACACAGTATCTTTTGTTTGCTTCCAGACAACGACATTGACAAGCAAGCATGCCTGCCCGAAATCACTTCCAAGCATTGGGATTCACATTGGCACTTATCTCTGCATTTTGTAAGTTTCTTCTTGTCACTATCCGGCTTTACACCAATATTGCGTAATCGGGACAAATTGGCGCTATCCGTTGAAAAATTAGTCTTTGTGACATTTATGAGAATTATTACATTGGAATTTGCACGGACTGGTTTGACTAGTTTTGTTTATGCAAGGATAAAACATTAAAACTTTAGACTACTTTAGATGCTATTGATACTCCATGTTGTCATCTTCGCCTGACGTTTATTTTTTTTACCAGTTTTTCAGTGGCAGTTTTCCTGTACGTCTTCCTTGGAATATTGTTGAACAGATTTGCTAGAAAAAAAACACTCTCTGATTCCTTTCCAAATAAAACATTTTGGATAGGCCTACCATCATTGATCAAGGTAGGTGGAATCAAATGTTGCTTACAAACTAATGTAAGATGTAGGAAAATAACTTCAAAGCAGTCAAAACTTTGATTGACTGAAAGTTCTTACCACTCCTATTTTCTCCCTACAGTATTGCCAATCGGCACACAGGACTTTTTTAGCAAACTCGCTTCACAACCAAAATTAGGTCTGTTTTAACCGTTCAGCTTACTTCACCGCACTATCTATAAATACCGTAGGACGCCTCTAGAAATTCTGCTCCGAATGGCCAGTACCATAGAGAGAAAGGGATGATAGCTCTGTCAACTAAAAGATTTGACTGCAATGCTGCAAATGACCATTTGGTTCCCTAACTGTTCAACTTCAAATTCGGAATCTATATTTCTCTAGTAGATACATTTATTTCCCTGAGGAAAAACCATGTGCGAGAAATCCTTTAACAAATAGAAGCTTACTAAGATCACGGTACCATTAAGAACAATCGTCCTAGAACCATGTTTTAGAGAAGAAATAGCATAGAAATTCATAGTTTAAAATACAGAATTTTTTTTTATATTTCAGGCACTTTTAAAAAAATTGGAAGTTGAAAGGCTTTCTTTATCTTCTTGAACACTAAGTGGCTTATAATTTTATGTCGATGTCCAATGTCATATTGCATAATTATTGCAATTTTTGTCAAATCTCGAGTATTCAAAGGTAAAAGCTGAAGTTATCTTAATTTTAGGATGGTGTGGTTTTCACTGCTGGAAAAATGAGAATCAAAGGGAGTCAGTACGAAAAATTGTGAAGATAATTGTTCATATCCTTAGCTGGAACCAGGGGGCATTAGGGGCACGTGGTTAAGAAAGTAACTTTATTTAAGTTGCCCTCTTGATATTATATTTAAATAAAGAATTTATTCAAGTTATGCTCTTAATTATCATTTTACTTACTTAAATCAGAATTTTTTTTGCATCCATGGTTGTGACTCTTAAGGTAAAGGGTGTGGTTAAAGTGTCCTTAAACCCTTGTACCCTCCCTCCGCCTTCCTTAAACCCAATTGCTTCCTATGTCTCTGTCTAAAATGTAATTGCTATTTATTGAATTCTCTCTTATTTGAACAAATAAATATACAACATTGTGAATGCTTGTTTATAGCGTTAAAAGGTTTTATGGGCGTTTTAATTAACACCGTTTTAATTAACAAGCCAACAGGCTTAATAAACGGACAAAAAACAAGAGCAAAACTTTGCTCTCTACATGAAAATCATCTACCTTATTCCGATAGCAGGAACCTCAAAATCAATTGTCAATGTCAGTTTAGAGAGTTAGTAAACTTAACAAACAATTTATCATAAAGCCTATAGCATTATGAAAATCGCCAAAAAAATGAATATACATTCTAAATGTCAGTAAAGAGCTTGATGGAGATTTATGAACATTTTAATTTTTGGTAAAAATAGTGAGCCTATAGTCAAAAGAAAATTGCCCGAATTTCGACCATTGCTTTTTCTTCTCTTCTTTTTCTACTTAATTCTAATAAAAGGAATCTTAAAATACATTTTGATAATCTGTTTTTTTAAATGTCTTTTGATAGGAAAATGGCACAAAAACTGACCATGACTTTGTCACGCTTCCTCGTGTTTTTCTTTTATCTGCTCTATTAGTTAATAGGCAGTACAAGGAGGCTTTAAGCCTCCTGGGGATTGATTTGTAAAACTAGGGTGTGGTGCATGTTTCGTTGCGTTTTCAATCCCTTGGTTAATCTAGGGGTAACCAAGGTTTTGGCATGGCGAAGGTCTCGCCTTGCTTGGCGAAGCCTCAGTATAAGGATAACAAGATGGCGTCTGCAACTTGAAATAGAATAAACTTGGCAAAGCAAATTGAAGAAAAATATTTTTTTGGCTACTTGACCCAATAGCTTAAAGATTCTGGAAGCCTCAATACAAGTATGCCGTTTATTGTCAAAAGGTGACTCGCCAATTATGCGCTCCTCTACTGATAAACCAGGTATGTTTTCAAGCTATTTTGGATAATGTTTTGGTGTTTTCGCAATTTCACCTGGTGTTAGTACGAATTACAGCGTTCAAGGTCCGTTCGTAGAAATTTTTGCCACCTCGTGCTCCGGCTTTCTCAGTGGACGTCTTCGCTCACAATGTAATTGCAGCTAATTCTGCCTACAGTTCCACAATCATTTCGCCATCAAAATTTATTTTGGGTAGTAATTGTTTACGGCTCTTCAGCAATACCTTTTTATATTGGCAACACGGATAGATAAGGTTTAATTGTTTGAATTTTCATGGCTCGGCCCGTATCTTTTGCCCTTTAATAGCCGTTATCCTTTTAACTGCTCCTCGCTAAAAATGTAAACAGTATCGGAGGTTTTGCTCATTGTTGGTGTTAACGCTAAGAGATTCCAATTTTTGCAATCTAAACAAAGTTTTGAACCTAAAATGAATTCAATTTGTAGAATCTTTTATAGTTTTTAAGGTTGTTTTGTCGGCAATAATTGTCGACAAGATGCCAATGTTGATCATGAGGCCTCATGGAGTTTTTGTTTATTGCTAGCCCCAAGCTTGGTATCGGTATGAAGATTTATTTTGCATTGATAAACTTAATATTATTCATTTTGGAAAGGCTGATTGTTTCCTTTATTTAGAGCTGCTGTTTTTAGATATGATATTCTTTTTTTACAAATAGAACATGTTTGGCATAGCCCTTTCTCCAAAGATAACAAAGGATAGCTAAACTGAGATCTTTTTAAAACTGTATCAAATGAGCATAACGGAATTCACAAAAATCTTATTTTTGGTCATTAATCAACATTGTCTATCTTTCTTTGTAAGAATTTTACATTTTTAATCAATTCTAAAAAGAAAATGAACTTTTAGAATTATTGCAGCTTATCAGTAATAAATCTTCCAAAACTACTGATTTTCGACTTTGCTTTTTTTCGGAAACCCATGAATTGATATGCTTACATTTTTATTGTTTTACTTAACTGAGAGCAGCTAGTTTTCATTATTCTTGAATCAGGAGTACCGCAGGATCCAAACAATCCGAAAGATGACCCTAAGGTATTTTCTTAAGATAGGCCCGAAAGCTTCAATCAAGAGAGGGATTCACGGATCTTTCAATTTACATTCCATTTATTGTAAATTAGCAAACCTATAGCCTTAATAAACTCACCAAATATTTGTCCATAACCTTAACTATTTCTAAGTAAATTTTTGATTATTCTGTTAAAAGGAACCATTAAATACATTTTAATCGGCTTTTTTTTAGAATATTTGGGAGCTTAGGGGGCATTTGAATTGAACTCGCTTTTCTGGAAAAAAAGCAAGGTTATAGCCTTAGGAAAATTGCAAAGAAACTTGCCCAAAAGCTCTATCACTTTTGGAAATAGCTGCTGAATTCTAATAAGAAAGACCATAAAATGCATTTTAATCGTCTTTTTAGATTATCTGGGAGCTTAGGGGGCATTTGAATTGAACTCGCTTTTCTGGAAAAAAAGCAAGGTTATAGCCTTAGGAAAATTGCAAAAAAACTCGTCCAAAAGCTTTATCACTTTTGGAAATAGCTGCTGAATTTTAATAAGAAAGACCATAAAATGCATTTTAATCGTCTTTTTAGATTATTTGGGAGCTTAGAAGTCATTTCAATTGAACTCGCTTTTCTGGAAAAAAAGCAAGGCTATAGCCTTAGGAAAATTGCAAAAAAACTCGTCCAAAACCTCTATCACTTTTGAGATAATTGCTGCTGAATTCTAATAAGAAAGACCATAAAATGCATTTTAATCGTCTTTCGAGATTTTTTGGGAGCTTTGGGGGCACTTGAATTGAACTTCCTTTTCTGGAAAAATAACAAGGCTATAGCCTTAGGAAAATCGCAAAAAAACTCTTCCCAAACCTCTATCACTTTTGAAAGAATTGTTGCTGAATTCTAATAAGAAAGACCATAAAAAGCATTTTAATCGTTTTTCTAGATTATTTGGGAGCTTAGGGGTCATTTCAATTGAACTCGCTTTTCTGGAAAATAAGCAAGGCTAAAGCCTTAGGAAAATTGCAAAAAACTCGTCCAAAACCTCTATCACTTTTGAAATAATTGCTACTGAATTCTAATAAGAAAGACCATAAAATGCATTTTAATCGTCTTTCGAGATTATTTGGGAGCTTTGGGGGCACTTGAATTGAACTTCCTTTTCTGGAAAAATAGCAAGGCTATAGCCTTAGGAAAATCGCAAAAAAACTCTTCCCAAACCTCTATCACTTTTGAAAGAATTGTTGCTGAATTCTAATAAGAAAGACCATAAAATGCATTTTAATCGTTTTTCTAGATTATTTGGGAGCTTGGAGGTCGTTTCAATTGAACTTGCTTTTCTGGAAAAAAAGCAAGGCTATAGCCTTAGGAAAATTGCAAAAAAACTCGTCCAAAACCTCTATCACTTTTGAAATAATTGCTGCTGAATTCTAATAAGAGAGGACCATAAAATGCATTTTAATCGTATTTTTAGATTATTTGAGAGCTTAGGGGTCATTTCAATTGAACTCGCTTTTCTGGAAAAAAAGCAAGGCTATAGACTTAGGAAAATTGCAAAAAAAACTCGTCCAAAACCTCTATCACTTTTGAAACTGCTCTGATAAAATGCATTTTAATCGTCTTTCGAGATTTTTTGGGAGCTTTGGGGGCACTTGAATTGAACTTCCTTTTCTGGAAAAATAGCAAGGCTATAGCCTTAGGAAAATCGCAAAAAAACTCTTCCCAAACCTCTATCACTTAATTGAAAGATTAATTGTTGCTGAATTCTAATAAGAAAGACCATAAAATGCATTTTAATCGTTTTTCTAGATTATTTGGGAGCTTGGAGGTCGTTTCAATTGAACTTGCTTTTCTGGAAAAAAAGCAAGGCTATAGCCTTAGGAAAATTGCAAAAAAACTCGTCCAAAACCTCTATCACTTTTGAAATAATTGCTGCTGAATTCTAATAAGAAGGACCATAAAATGCATTTTAATCGTTTTTTAGATTATTTGGGAGCTTAGGGGTCATTTCAATTGAACTCGCTTTTCTGGAAAAAAAGCAAGGCTATAGCCTTAGGAAAATTGCAAAAAAACTCGTCCAAAACCTCTATCACTTTTGAAACTGCTCTAATGAGAAAGACCATAAAATGCATTTTAATCGTCTTTCGAGATTTTTTGGGAGCTTTGGGGGCACTTGAATTGAACTTCCTTTTCTGGAAAAAAAGCAAGGCTATAGCCTTAGGAAAATTGCAAAAAAACTCTTTCCAAACCTCTATCACTTTTGAAAGAATTGTTGCTGAATTCTAATAAGAAAGACCATAAAAAGCATTTTAATCGTTTTTCTAGATTATTTGGGAGCTTAGGGGTCATTTCAATTGAACTCGCTTTTCTGGAAAAAAAGCAAGGCTATAGCCTTAGGAAAATTGCAAAAAAACTCGTCCAAAACCTCTATCACTTTTGAGATAATTGCTGCTGAATTCTAATAAGAAAGACCATAAAATGCATTTTAATCGTCTTTTTAGATTATTGGGAGCTTGGGGTCTAATTGAACTTGCTTTTCTGGAAAATAGCAAGGCTAAAGCCTTAGGAAAATTGCAAAAAACTCGTCCAAAGCTTTATCACTTTTAATCTGCTGAATTTTAATAAGAAAGACCATAAAATGCATTTTAATCGTTTTTTAGATTATCGGAGCTTAGAGGTCATTTCAATTGAACTCGCTTTTCTGGAAAAAAAGCAAGGCTATAGCCTTAGGAAAATTGCAAAAAAACTCGTCCAAAACCTCTATCACTTTTGAAATAATTGCTGCTGAATTCTAATAAGAAAGACCATGAAAATGCATTTTAATCGTATTTTTAGATTATTTGGAGAGCTTAGGGGTCATTTCAATTGAACTCGCTTTTCTGGAAAAAAAGCAAGGCTATAGCCTTAGGAAAATTGCAAAAAAACTCGTCCAAAACCTCTATCACTTTTGAATAAGCTGCTGAATTCTAATAAGAAAGACCATAAAATGCATTTTAATCGTTTTTTAGATTATTTGGGAGCTTGGAGGTCGTTTCAATTGAACTTGCTTTTCTGGAAAAAAAGCAAGGCTATAGCCTTAGGAAAATTGCAAAAACACTCGTCCAAAACCTCTATCACTTTTGAAATAATTGCTGCTGAATTTTAATAAGAAAGACCATAAAATGCATTTTAATCGTATTTTAGATTATTTGGGAGCTTAGGGGTCATTTCAATTGAACTCGCTTTTCTGGAAAAAAAGCAAGGCTATAGCCTTAGGAAAATTGCAAAAAAACTCTTCCCAAACCTCTATCACTTTTGAAAGAATTGTTGCTGAATTCTAATAAGAAAGACCATAAAATGCATTTTGATCGTATTTTAGATTATTTGGGAGCTTAGGGGGCATTTGAATTGAACTCGCTTTTCTGGAAAAAAAGCAAGGCTATAGCCTTAGGGAAATTGCAAAAAAACTGGTCCAAAACCTC